CAGCTTTTGTGATTTCATTTCTTTGGTCTATAAAAATGACTAGCGAAAGCAGAGAAGTAAATGAGTTGCATCAGTGTTGCAGACTTGACTCTGTAAGCAGAGATGAACAGTGTGGTCCTGGGCTCACTGCAGGCAGCTGGGCAGAGCTCACAGCACAGCCTGGGGTGGTGTAAAAGGAGAACAAGCAATGGCTCCATGGAGCCCCCTGAGAACAACAACGGCCAGCTCCTGTGTGCTAAGTGGAAACAGGCTTGTCTGACCGGCTTTTCAATCATGCCAAATCCCAGAGCTATGACATGCAAAGAACAGAATCAAGGTTACAGCAGTAAATCTCGTAACACCCCGGGCAGTGGTTTCCTACTCACTCTAACTTGCCTCTCAAGCAGGCCTCCACCTGCCACTTAACAGCACCACAGGTTTCAAGCTTAGGCAGCCCTACCTAGAAGCACTGAATTAGATACTTGTAATTTGTGTCTCCTCCTCTTGATCAGAGCAGCTGGAAACACAAGAGGCTAATGACAGGCACAACACCGTTTTCTAAAATGGAGCTAGGGGATGGGATGTGGGGGGCACAGTCATAACTCAGAGGTAACCACTGCTTGCAACAGAGATGCACTTCAGCACTGGTCAAGACTAAGTGCTAAGAGTTCACTCACAGTCCATTTCTCCTGGTGCCCAGTGAGGAGTTGCCCAGACAGCCAAGAGGAAGCGTGTACTAACAGCTGTGCACTCAACAGTCACGGCTGGACCGGGCTGTCAAGATCCTCATCATCACCTAAAGCATGGAAGATGAGGGAAGCGAACACACTTCCCTGCACATCACTTATTGCCATACCAAATCGGGAAGGTCAGCACGCACCTTCCTTCTCTGGCTGTCTCTAATACATACCAAGGACTGGACCTCACATCCTGCTTGGTGAGCCCTTTCTGGATGGCTCACATTCTAACAGGGAACACCCTCTTGTGCAATTGTCACCCATAAACTTGACCTTCTTGACATTTCTGGTGACTCAGTCTGAGCACATAAACCATCTCCCTGCTTCATATCTGAGTGGAAATAAATGTCAAGAGGTATCAGTTCATTAGACTGATCTCAGAGCTCTTCCTATAGAAAGGAGAAGACAGATTTGTTCAAGCAAATAGTCAACCATTTTCTTTCTCATTAGATCAGGCCTCTTCAAATCAGTTCTGAATTAATCAAGGGGCAATGCCTATTCAGCTGGCACCATTTTACCTAAGAAGATGCCAGCTAGCTCTACTGCTTCCTCTCAGTGGTTATGCCAACTCAGAACACTTTCTCACAGACAACTCCACATCACTACCACTAATAGAGGTGGAACTAGCACTGTAGTAACTCTAAGGCTACCCTTTCCCAAGGCCACCACAACACCAGGGACTGATTACTGGTCAGCACTTGTAACCATAAACCCCTTCTTCTCAGGTAAACACTCTTTGCATACTCCTAAATCTAAAGGTCTTTCAGACTTGGATGACAGCAGCATAAACTGGAGGTAGAAATCTGACACATTCAATTTAAAGTTATTGTTTCTTTATTCCTTAAATAGAATTGCTACAGACATCACAGAGCTACAACAATATAAGTCCATATAAGCACAACACTTCCTGGGAAGTACCTTTTCCTCCCCAGCTTACTACAGTTCAGTGGTTAATCTCACCCTTTTTTAAGGCTATTTAAAGAGGGAATGGATGAGCAAACGGCTGACTCGGGGGGCTTCTGCACTATGTTAAAGTATACCCATCATACCTTCAGCTTGGCTTGGATCTCTCTAGCTTTCCGCCTTGCCAGGACCTGGATGTGACTAGATACCTGCATTGAAAGACAAAATCCATCTTAATTCCAGATGAGTACTTGGTAGCTGCTTGCAGAAGTAAACATATTTTAGGCACCTTGTACAACAGGGAGTTATTTAGGGTTGGGAGGAAGGGAGACAGAGATAGCAATAAGATGCTTTTCTGAACATAAGTGTCATGAAATGAAGTGGGGGACCTGCAAAGATAGGTCAGTTAAGGCCTTTTCCAATTCAAATGGCTTTATCAAGCCACAGACCTCCTCTAAAATTAAAGAGCCCATCCTTAAATGTAGGGACAGAGGTCCAGTATCTTTGCTCCACACCTTGGCCTCCTCTTGGGAGAAGGAAAACCCATGTTCCATATCCCTGGCCAACATATAATGACTCTCAGAACTGCCCCATATCTAATGTGGGCTGAAATACATCACAGAATAATTTAGGTTGGAAGGAACTTCTGGATGTCATCCACCAACCCCCTACCCAAAGCAGGTCTAAGTTACTCAGTGCTTTGTCCAGCATAGCCTGGACTGTCATTCCCAAATTACAAAGACTCCCTTTTCATCCCATGTGCCATCTATTTTCAAAATCACCATTGCAAATCCATCTGTCTGGGCTGAACAAAGAATCTTCATATAGAAGACCACTGACGTTCACTGAAATGTTCATTAGTGCACCAAACAAAATCACACACCATTTAACAGTACAAAAATCTGTGCGTCATGATGTGGTAGGGAGACATGAGCATTACAATCCTACTGCAAAATACCTGAGCTGACTCTTCCCACCATTCTTATTAACCAGCTCAGTACAACCACCTCTTGCCAGCAAAGCCAGAAACTAACAGCAAGTGAACTGCAAGAGATTTGTTCTCATAAGCCCTCAACATGTCTGGTGGTCCAAAGAAGCTAATGCTTACAGTGAAAACTTCACACTTACCTGTTTCCTTGTGCGCGTTTTCCCTGTTCTCAGCTTAATATAGCGGGCAATCAGCTCATTTCGGCCTGGAACAGAGAAATAATGCAAATATAAGCTTAGAAAGCTATGACCCCAGAGAGAAGATGCACCATGGAATTATCTATCTATAGAGATCAGCAGTGGGATGATATTCTGTCACACGGTTTTTTATCTTAGAAAGGTACTTATTAGTTCACACGGTAGAGGTCTGAGTTTTAGGACCAGAACTTTGGACTGCAAATTCTATTTCCCAGCTTGCATCTGTATAGATTAAAATTATCAGTAAAAAGGAGAATCATATGCTACGCTTAATAATTTTATTACCATAGCGTGGTATAGTACTATACCATAACATGGATCAAGATAGCCAGTACAAAGGAGAAAAAGGAAAGCCACTCATCCTAAAACATTCAGAAAGTCAAGAGGAAGATCTAGGAAATAACAGGTCAGTCAGCATCACCTCAGTCCGTGAGAGGTGATGGAGCACGTAATCCTGGAAACCATTTCCAGACAGATAAAGAACATGAAAGCAATTGGAAGTAGTCCACATGAATTTACAAATGGGAAATCATACTTATCCAATCTGATAGTTTCTGCAGGGAGGTGACTACCTTGGTGGATGAGCAGAGAGCTGTATATATTGTGACTTTAGTAAGGCTTTTGACTGTCTCCCATAACATCCCTCATAGGCAACCTGACAAAGTGTGGGTAAGCAGACAAGGACGTGGATTGAAAACTGGGTGAATGAACCGAAAACAAGCTGACACTGAGCCAGCAATGCACCCTCGTGGCAAAGAAGGCCAGCAGTATCCCAGACTGCATTAGGAGGATTGTTGCCAATAGGGCAAGTGAGGTGATCCTTCATTTCTGCTTAGCAGTGCTGAGGCAACATCTGGAGTACTGTGTCCAGTTCTGGGTTCCTCAGCACAAGGAAGATGTGGATGTAGTGGAGTGAGTTCACCAAAAGGTCCACAAAAATTATTAAGAGACTGGACAATCTTTCATCGGAGGAGAAGCTGAGAAAGCCAGAGCTGTTCAGTCTGGAAGAAGACTTGAGGGGAGTTTTTATCAATGCATATAAATACCCGATGGGAGGCAACGAAGAAGAGTGAGACAGCCTCCTCTCAATAGTACCCAGGGATAGGACAAGAAACAATGGCACAAACTATAACACATGAAATTCCATCTGAAAACAGGAAAAAGGAAAAAGCCCAACTTTTTTACTGTAAGGGTGGTCAAACACTGGCACAGGCTGCCCAGAGGGGTTATATAGTCTCCATCCTTGGAGGATACTCAAAACCTTACTGGACACAACTGTGGGCAACCTGCTGTAGCTGACACTGCTTGAACAGCAGGGCCAGACCAGACAATTTGAAGGGATGTCTTCCAATCTAAATAAGTCTGTCATCCTGTGAATCTATGTACAAGAAAAACAAAAATGGGGAAATACATGGAAACAGTTACACAGAACATGTGACATAATACAGTGAATTAAAAGTGCCTTCATCCTCTTGCAGCCATTCCAAAAAAAAGGAGCATTCTTCAGAAGAAATAAAAAGAAGGAAGCTTAGCTTTGTCGAAGGTTATGAGGAGCTCCCATAAACAGGAAGGTGGGGCACTGGCTGGGAGAGGTGAAGGAATTGGAGGTTCTGGAGACTCAAGAAACATCTCTCAATGTAACTTTATTCTTTTTTTTCTGAAAATAGTACTTTCAAATCTAATTTACTTTTCATGCAATATCCATTAAAGAACAAACAGGAAACACAGAGTATTTTCTATTAAAAACAAGCAAGCAAGCTGGAATCACATTGTGTTGAAAAGTTGTATTATTATCTTCATGTCAGACTCATGTCATAGAAAAGTTCCAATTACAGAACAAGCATACATTGCAGGCACTGAAGACAGGTTTTACACCTTGATTTTAAGAGATGACACAGTGAGGATATGCCCTTGAGGGGCAAGGGAAATGCAGTCAAATAGCTTTATGTTCAATGTTAGAGACAGGCCAGAGCAGAGATGTGAAGAAAAGATGGTCACGGTGACAGACGAGGGAAATGGTATCAACAGCAACATGAATGAAACGTACAGGGTCACTGGTACAGAATTTGAAATTGCTTCGAATGAGAGCAAGAAACTGCAGAAGACTCAGGTCCAGTACTTAAAAATGAGGAAGAGAAGCAAAGAAGGCTGAGATACCGAAAACTTCAGCAGTGAACAGGAGAGGCAAGCTTCGACCTGATTCACAGCTAGCAGCACTGAACTGTTTGAGAGTGGACACCAAGACACGAGGCAGACTGTGCAGGTTCCATAGACTGGCTCTCATGTATCAAATCTAAGCAGACACTCAGATTTTATTATCTTCCTGGAGATGGAGGAATAAAGAGCAGAAACAGAAAAGCAGCGGCTACACATCTGAACTCTAGGCAGATTCAAGGCAGAAGACATGACCGAAAGAGAAGGCTCTGCAAAATAATACATTTGCGGTGACCATACTAATAGCGATACAGTACCTCAATAAAAAGTTGGGAGTAGGAAGTGCAAAGCTGTGAGACATCTTATATGGCTGCAAGTGTTTGAGGAATGAACCTGAATAAACTGGAAAGCAAAGCCACATCTCTTGTCAAGTTTATTTATAACAAAATTATAAAAACCCAGTATTTTCCATGGAAAGTTTATGTGCTGAATGGAGAACTTGTACGTTAGGACATCACAGATATCAAAAAAGCAAGCAGTCAAAATAGATGTAATATTTATTTCAGTAGCTTAACGTTCCTCAAAAAAATCCCAACTTGTTTTTATTTTAAACTCTTGTTTAACTCAACCCTGAAAAAAATTAATGCAAGGAAGGACTCTATGCTAGAGAGTGACCATCCAACCCTTTAGGGAAGGGCTGGCAAAGCTCCTAATTCCATGTTTCTGAAACAGAACAATGTCAATGTCCATTAATGCATTTAGGCCATGTTCATGAAATGTAACTAAAACACACATAGGGATGGGAAAGCATTTTACATTTACAATTCTTAATCTTTTCCTAATGGTGTAACTGCAGAAGCTCTCCTTATTCCCCCTGGGAGAATAATCAGGTCTGCAGCCAAGAAAAGAAAACAGCTCCGGCTCTTCTATACACAAATTAGGAACTATTTCTGCGCCAGAAACACAATTCCCAACATGTAACCACTGATCTCTTCAGTTCCCACAGTTTCAGCATTAGCACAGTAACGTGTCCGGGAGAGTCTGATGGGAGCAGATGCTGTTACGCTACCTTTCACCTGGCTGCTTTTCCAACCCATGTAACCATTTTTACAAAGCCAAGAAAAATTACTAGTGACACATACCCACACCACCTTTGAGTGCCAAGAATAACATTTATGGCTTTTCAAAGCCTCCATCTGTTGGACATGGATCTAAACTGAAATGTAAGAAACAACAGAAGTGATTCTTCTTGCACAGATGCTGGCATATATGAAATTTCAGAAGGACAGCTTGACACATCAGAAGTGGGAAATGGGCAGAACAAAACAAGGTGCTCAAACCCCATTATCTATAAAGAAACAAGAAGGAAAATTCAGGACCCTTTGAGGGGCATGGGGAATGAGCTAATGGAAAAGAGAGGAAAAACTAGCCTTGAGAAGAAGTGGATGTGGAGAATTTCAGTAAAGAATAAAACAGGGGAAGCTGAGACTAGGAAGCAGGAAGAAGGCAATAAACTGTAGTCAAGCCTGGGAAAGTGGGAGGTGTTTCCCTAAGTGTGTGTTTAACTGTTTGACAACATCGGCAAAAATTGCAAAGCTCTCTCAGGCTACGTACTTCACTAGAGAAGACTAGAGGGTGAACCAATTGCACATATGAGAAGCTAGTACAGAAATTCTCTAAAGAGAAATTATCTAGAGAGAACGTCCAAATGTGGATCCTCAAAATTACCAGTTTTAGAATTCACTTCCCACTTGTCACCACCTCTCATAAAACCTTCCTCTCATACAGCCTTCCTCTTCCAGAACTGTATCCCCAGAGAGCCAGGGAAAAACAGAAAGCTGGCAAGGTATACTAAGCTAATAAAGATAATGGTAGCAAAAAACCCAGGTCACTCTACCAAGTCATCAGCATCACAGGAATTACTAAATATAGAACTATGCAAATTGCCAAGTCCAGTAAACTGCAGCAAAAACATATTAAATTACCATGAATCAAAACTGCAAGAGAAGCAAGTCCTAGATGTCTTTTGTGTTTCTTACCAGAAGTTAGATGTAAGCAGGTATTACGTGGCTGGAAGCCTGTAGGTTTGCAGCCTCTGGAAAGCACTTTCTTTGTTTCACAACCCTGGCTGCAGGGTCAGCAGAGACTATCACTTCTCACTTTGCTAGAACAGGCAGAGCTGTCATAAACTGTCAGATGGTTCGTATTTTAGAGCCACGTAAAGTGTCCCTCGGTAATCTGATCATACGTTGTGTTCTTAGAATAACTCCCACTGAGGCCTGTCATGGTCACCAGAACCTGACAACAGTTGTGCCTCCTCTGTCAAAACTGCGCATTGGGTTTCATGAAGCTCTAGCCAACATACCAACAGCAGTGCAGCACTCAAAAGCTCTTTATCCTCCCTGCACCCTTCCCCTTGGAAGCATGGCACGAAAAAAGGAGTAAAGGGATACTCTCTTATGTTCTTTACCTCTTATTCCTAACAGATACATTTCCAAAGGCATCAGTCTAGCTCCCACTCTGTCTTACACTAAATTGCAAAGTTTTGCATTCAGTAGTTATCCAGGAAGGTGCTGCTAAGGGAATTGAATAAAGCAGCTTTTTGATCCTCCATTCTACATCTGTGCTCCTTTCTATGTAAGAGAGTCTGCCTCTAAGGAAGGGGGAAAAATTCCCAGTCCTACCTTCAAGTTTCATGCTGGCTTTCTGCTAGTAATGATGTATTACTGCTTCTACAAGAGGGAGATAAAGCATCTCTTTGAGCCTTGTACTTCCTCGCACACCTGTTGCCAAAGAAAGAACCAAAAGCCTCTCTTCTGTGATGGGTGAGAGCAAAGAACTCAATGATTTCTGC